AAAAAAAAAAAAAAAAAATCAAAACTCAAATTTAACTCAACCCCACCCCACCCACTATCCATGATATTATCAATATAACTAAATATTATTAATCAATCATTCTTACGCATCACATCAACTTTTATTCACTATTCATCCACTCACATAATTTTAACTAACCATCACTTCCAATCATTTTTCTCATACTTTTACATCAAATCAGCTTTAATTATTTTATTTTAAATATTATTTTAATTTAAACTTATATTCCCACTAACAACCAACTATACCACATTTTTCAAAATTAACTATGATTAACAAAAAAACCAATCAAATCCATATCTAATCACACCCTAAGGAAGTATAAGAGCCGAAGGAAGAATCATTGGTAAAAGGAGATACAATGTGAAGTAATGCCAGTAACCGAGAATGAAACTTCACCTGAGCTGAAAATTCTTTGGACTGCACTAGAAAGTCTCTAATATGGTTTTTGAACGAGGGAAGATCAGTCCTCGACTCAAAAAGACCAGACACAAATTGTGTCACCTGCAAATATCCAGAAAACAGATAAGCAAAGTTTGAGACACATAGAATAAAGAAAAAAGCCAACGGGTAAAAGATTTGCTTCAGTACCTCAGCTGCTGTCATGTTGGGGAAGGATGTACTCAAAAGTTTGATGGTATACTCACGGACAAACATGGCATTATTTGGATATTGATAAGTTACAGTGGCAACATCCCACAGGGGCTCGGTCAACACATTAGTTTCCACCTATTATTGTGATGAAAAAACAGTTGTATCAAAATGATAGAAAATTAAATTTATAATAATAAGAGGTTAATTCAGATGGTTATGCAAAAGGATTGTGGTGTGTAGAAGTTAGAATAGCTACAATACCAGGATGAACAAATGCTGAAGTACGAGGACATGTAACTTGAACCCAGGCTTATGGAAGGTGTCTGTTAAAACAGCAAAGATTTCTTGCTCTATTGTTAAAAAATATGTCCTGTAAAACTGATTGCAAAACTCAGACACCTGAAAATTTTTCATCATCTCTAATAAAAGATTGAGTCCAGTTTCCGCAATGTTCCGTTCAGTGTGGCGGAAGGCCCAAATGATCGAGTCCATGACGAGTTTCAGTTGCTGGCATAGAACAGTAGAACAAAGAAAAACATAATAAATGCAGAAGATAAAAGGGAAATGTTCAACTGAATTTCTTTGATGTTTAATATATATACCTCACTGGACAAGTGGATCAAAGCTGGAAAACAATGGGTTGCGATGGCTCGAAGTAGTGAAAAAAACTTGAGTCGATGCTCGGGATAGTCTTCAAAATTCTTAGTTATCATCTGCAAGAAAAACAATTATGAAGTCACGACATAAAAGTGAAACTGAGCACCTATCATCAAAATTAACCCTGACTATTATCTGATGGGGGTAATGAAAGCTCTAACATGAACGGTATATTGCAATTTTTTAATCGTACGAATACTTGTTAGCTTATACATAAAGCATAGCTAGGTAAGGACAACTATAGATTGACGGCAAAACTAGCAATCTGACCAGAAAACTATTCACATTTACAAAGACCTCAAATTAAGAGTTGAAGGGGAAAAGAAAGTGCTGAGAGGACAAGACATTAAGTCTTCCACTGAAAGTCCAAAATGGAGCAAGATTACCCGAGGTAGAAAAAAGATGGAAAAAGTCAAAGGATGAAAAATTGACATACTAGTTATAAACAAGAAAATGAAGACAAACCTCCAGAGTGCACTGAAAAACAGCTTCAAAGATTCGAGGAACATCTTCAATCATTGCCCGCTTATACCTTAAGCGCAATTAAAATATAATGAATTAATTGGAATAATAAAGCAAGCACAATATAAAATTCTGATAAGCATCAATATCACAACACATTATAAGAACCAAGGTATACTAGAAGTATTATAAATATAAAACACTGCAATAGCATAATTCTCTTCTAGTCTCCTATACATTTATGTACACCCACATGAGGATCCACAATGCTATTCAACCACACACACACACTCACTGAAAAGCATGCATACTTATTTATTATTGTGGCAAAAAGTGAGAGAACTTCAGACTCTCGTGCATCAGGCAGATTCCGCGCATAGTCCCCCAGAACAGGGTCCATCATTGGAGGCACAAATTGCTTTCCTATATGAGGTTGATCTTCAGCTTTGTCTAAAAATGTCTCGATAAGCTTCAGTGTTTCCCTCTTGACTGAGCTGTTAAAAATTGACATGACCGAGATAAATATCAGATAAAATACAAAAGCATATTTCGTTCCAAAATTGAAAACCTACCGCAAAAGTTTCACGACAGATGATCTGGAAGCATAGGGTCCTCCTTGAGCAATACTGGTAGATATAAGTTCACTATACATTCTGGTGCATTCAAACAAAATTGTCATAAAACAAACAAACAAACAAAAGGAATGGTAAACAACAAAAACAGAGAGTTCCTACGAAATCCAAATACACCTGTAAACATTGAGCATATCCAAAAAGATAAGAGTGATCTGTGGCAAGAAATATGTCCCAAGAGAGCTGGCAACACTAGTATTTGTCTGCAAGTAAAAAGGTATGTCAAAATATAAAGTGGGCAAGGACAAAATTAAAGGAAAATGTAATTCGAAAAGCTCGCCAATCAGAAAACAAGCTTAATCTAAAGCATTAAGCAAAGTCCGCCAATTTGTTTTTCACAGTCTAATTAATCTAAACAGAACACAATAGTAAGTTTTATCCTCAAAAGTATCACAGGTGAATGCCCTCTTTTTTCTTTCCTTTTTTCTTTCTTTGCTTTTGAGAGACTATATTCGACTATGTAGCACAAAAAAGCAAACTTTATGAGCCATCTTATTATAGCAGCTTTGAAAACAGACTGTTCAATTTAAATTAGGTCAATACATGTCCGCATCAGAGAACGAACCTGCAATATATTAAGCACTGCCCTAATCACATCCTGATCTTTTAAGAAATCCACACTTTGACGCGCCTGCCCAATAATTTCAGTCCATTTCTGCAGCAGATAATCCATTAGCAACAGAATAATAATGCAGGCACTAGCAAAGGTAATAATCACACAGAAGATCAATGACTATTTGGAAATAAATATCATAAGCATCTTCCGGAATCCAATCAGTTTCAGTAACAAGGAAATATCTTATACCTGATTTGGCAGCTCCATTAATCTCTGGAGATATTCATCTCTCCTATGAGGATCAGATTCTGCCTGAATCATATTGCCCACCTAGAACACATAAATAAAGTAGCAATAGTTATCAACCACTTTACAAAACAGTTAAACCTTAATATACAATCAAGCAAATGTGGGATGTGGACCTACAGATTCATAGAAGGAGTGGATTTGATGAGGCTCAAGATCTGCTATAGTTGACGGAAGAGTTGTCAAAAGTTCTGATACAAACGGCTCATTTTCTCCAACCTACATAAGTAGGATGCAGACATCGGAAATATTTATAAAGGCATGACCCTATCAAACTATTACCATACAAATATCAGTACAGTACTACAATCCCAACCTGCATAATGACAAATTTGCGCTTGCACTTCTGAACTATTTTCAAGAATGTATCACAAGCCATATCCTACAAATAACATAGAATCAGTGAAATTGTACTCTATGAACATAAAAACGAAGAGACGGACATGAAAAACATGAGGTTAAAAGCATCTACACCACAGCTGCAGAAATAACATTAAAGAACCTGAACTCCTGGATGAGTTTCATGCATGAACTCAAACAATTTGTTCACGACAGTTTTCAAAAACTTCCAATGAGCTCTCAGAAATCTTGGGTATTGACCAACCACATACCTACACAACCAACAAATAGAAAAATGGGCAAGTTTCAATCAAGATAGTTGATTAATTTGTACTCTCATATCACCTGCAAACTATACAGTGAACAATGGGAAGTGTACAGATTTTGGTAGTGTCGTCCATCATACAGCAAGATAATGTGTATGTAATCCAAATACTAATACACTACTCACATTATATTACTGGCAATGACAGCTTTATTATCCTTTCCTTTGGTGATTTCACAAAGGTTCAACAAGTCCCGAATGACCATCACCAAGAATCTGTTTTCCTGGCAAAGCAAGGAAGTTGCAGGAATATGTGAAGTTGAGATGATTGGATGCAACCATATAAAAGTTAGTGCTGTCACTACTCAACAGTGTGTCATTATGAAGTGGCACTCATGGGAATAGCAGAACCAGAGACACCCCAAAAATACTCATTATGACACAACGGGAAAAAAATTCACTTGTAAAAGATACAGAAAGAATTCTACATTTATGACGTCAAAGGAAGGAGCGTATCGCCAAATAAAGTCAGAATTATATAATAAAGGTGAAAGTTACTTTTGGGGGTACACCTAATCCCAAATACATACAATTAGCAGGTGCTGCATACATAGTGCCACAATAATAAACTAACGTCGCACATTCAGATAATGATAACCTACCTGCTCCTCCACCATCGACCCAGAAATAGATCCAATGGCCCAACACAAAGTATTGAGGTTGTTCCAGGTCCAATCTTCTCCATTTAGTTGTTTACTCAATTTCCTCAACATCTGTATCCATATTCACAAATCAATTTATAAGTAAACACATTCCAGATTCCAAAACTTACAAACTACATTAAAACATGAATCAAGCACTGCGACTTCTGAAAACCATAGGATTACAATATAAAAATATATAAAAAAAAATAACTTCACTAAACCAGTAAATGAGGCAATCATTGCACCAACTTAATGCAATTTGCGTCCCCCCAACAGTATGCTCTTTATGTTTTATGTAGTCAAATACCGACACTTGATAATAGTCCAAGAATGGTATGGTAAGCGCAATCAAATCCTCTACAGGTAGGTATGCAATATCCTTGAGCAACACTTTACTTAACAATTACTTTTGAAAAGGGAAACCATTACCATATGCATTAAAAAACATGGAAAGGAAAGAAGTGAGGTGACAAAAACAAGCTACTCATGTCAGGTGAGGATACAGACCCCCTCCAAAGCATGTATGCAAATGCAGCATTTTCCGAAAAAGTAAGAGGCAAACCTGTTTTTCAGTGTCTTCATGATCTAGATGTGCCAAGTAGATCAGTGTTTCCCTCATAATCTGCAAGATTTAACTATTTAACATCTGGCTGACTTCATAGCAAATTTTGGAAGAAGATGATATCAACTATGCCACCCAATAGCTGTTAAAAGTTTCTAATCATTTTAAAAGGACCTTATATTGCACAAGCACGTCATTGTCCTTCATTGTTTCACGAACTATATTTCCATTTTCGTCTTCGACAATAAGAACTTCTTCAGGTTTTGCCATCCGGCAGATCATCAGTAATCTCAACTTTGACATCGGACCAGCATAAAGTTGACGCCTCTGCATGAGTTGTGAACCTAGGCCATCAACCATACCCACCAGCAACGGCACCTATTTCAGCGATACAAATGTCAGACTTGAAAACCAAATTGACAAAAAAGACTGCTAATACAACCCGTATAAAGGCACCTGCAATCCCATCATGTTCGCACTTGCTGCAGGGTTGTCCAGATTATGGTGAGCTTGGAATAGCTCCAAGACTAAGGAGTTCCAATAGTCCAAGCAAACCTTTGATATAATAGAAAACACAAACAAAATGAATCTTATGTAAATGTAGAAACTTGCTAATAAAAATAAGAAGCATACCTTGAAAACTTCAGTATCATCCACATAAGATATGTTGATGAGATATTCCAGGCCTATTAACAGTGCATTTATGTTTTCTTGTGAAGATTCTAATATTCGTATGTGAGACTGCACAACGAACAAAAGACATCTATCAAAAGTCACCAGAAACATGAATGTCAAAATAACGACTGCCAAGTTACCAGAAAACTTGATTTATTGGCTGTTCATGAGATGCATAAGAAGTGAGTGTAGTGATTTTTTTTGGTTCATTAGAAGCTTGAATAACAATAATAAATCTGGTAAACTGTAAATGAGTGGAGAAGGAACTTTAGAACTAAAATCCACAGCACAATTTTACATTAAGTGCAAAACATACTCGAAAAATTCAATAATAAAGCCAAGTTCAGTTCTCCAATGGAAGACAATAGGGAGCTTCACGAAAAAGATTATGACATCTACTTCGTGAGTGTGAGGTGCAACAAATATTCCACACCCGTTCAAACATCTTTAAGTAACTCAAGACAATGTGAAAAGCTCTAAGTTTCCACAGAAGAATATGTAAAGTTGAAAATCAACGCTTGTGTCAGATTCTTGATCTAGGAAATGAATCTCTAAATACATTAGCAACTTTCCAACCTCATGACGCCATTCAACAACATTCAGCAGTCCTGTTAGTTTTATTCGCCAGGAAACAAGGAGTGATTACCTTGAAAAATGATGCGAAAAACAACGCCAAATTTTGAATAAATGCCTGGGAAAACTCAAAGCAGAAAATTAATATAGAGAGAGAAGAAACGGATTAATGCATTAACGTTTTTGTATCAGAAAAAAACCTGCTCCTCGCTAGTCCCATTTGCATAAGCCTCTACAAGGTTGGTTGTGGGTGGCAGGATCGTCTACAACAGAGATGAGAATTTAGCATGCAGTTCATTGAGCTAGAGGCTTTACCTGATCATACTGCACATAAAACAAATTTACGCTACCTGCAATTGCATGATAAATATAGTATACATTTTGACATACTGCACGTTATAGAAGTCCCCAAAACTAAGAGCGGCAACCTGCACATAATGACACATGAAATGACAAGCAACATTATATAGGCAAATACAACAATGATAATTTAAGAGATGCCAAAGGTAGGTATACCTCTGTCAGACATTGAAGAGTCAGATTGCGATAAGCCGGTACATGGAAAAACTTCAACAGCGTTTCAAGCTGCCAACCAACACATAAAATGTGGGCATCAGATCGGACTTAACTTACAAGTGCATTTCCTAAACAAAGAATCCATACGACAAGATGGAAATTATAGCCCTTCTTTCATTTAACAACCACCCACAAGAAATGAAGAAGTACAAACCAGCGGTGATTCAAATATATAGCCTAGAGGAATCCAGGAAAGGAAAGCATGTAATGTGGCGAGGGTAGCCCTGATAAGCTCGGCTCTTTGAGATGCTGACAATACATATAAACATAGCTCATGAATAAGCTGGAACTCACTGCACACAAACAGAATTTCAATAATCATTTTCCATAGAAGAAAAAGGAAAGAACATTACAAAGACATCAGATATCTAAAGACCAAAATAAGGCCATAGAAATATTAATCGGCAAGATATGAATCACAAAAACAACAAATATATCAACAGACGATTAACATGTCACATGCATACCTGTTCAATGATTGCTTTAACTCTTTGATTTTCTGTTGGGTCATCTCACCCCTCGAGAAGTCGAAGACCTCCTCACTTAAGAGCTAACAAATAACGTTCTCAAGTCAGCTATATGAAGTTAAATTGAGCTTACGAGAAGATATTAATTACTTACTTTTAGTATTGCCATGCAATTTTCGCAAATGGTTTCACTTGATTTTGCTGCTGCAACCAAATCTGGAATGAAACTTCGCCACCGGGCAGGCCACTCGTGCTTCAAAATCTAAATATGCAAAAGACAGCCAAAAACTACCTCAGACAAGCATGCACTCCAATGAAAGAGTGTCCCAAATAAAGAGATGACCAAGAATAGAATATAAATGTACAGCAGATAAGCATCAATCGGACTATTAAATTAAAGTTACCTGAACCAGTATAATGTTCAACTTATTCACATACAGCCTCTCTCGCCTAAAGGAGATCTCATCACTTGAAAGCTGATGAGAATATAGCATGACAAAAGTATCAGGAGATACATATTCTTCAATAACAACCACAACATAGTTACAGAAAACTCATTCCCAAAGATATTCAAGTACCTTAACAATAACTTCAGATATATAGTTCTTCATTCCATCTCGTTGTTCAACAGGTAAAGCATTCCATCTGTACTTAATAACACCTTCTAGAACCTGCACATGGAGATGGCAAGTAAATCGCTTCAGTATCGTGAAAAGAATGAAATGATCAGATAAAAGTCGACAATAAGTTTTTGTGTAACATGTTCTAAAGAATCCCAGTCTCAACAACTATCATTGGCATACCTGTAGGGCAAAAAATTTGGTATTTAAGTTCTGTGTATTGGATAAAATGTGAACCACTTGAAGCCACATATCTGGATTATTTTGTAAATCTCGCAAAACATGGTCGGCAGCAGCTCTCTGTCACAAAATCAAGAAACAATACAACCAGTAGGTTCAGGGCAGGGATAAAAAAGATAGCCAGTCATGTAATCTGCACAAAAGATACTGCTGCAGATGATCATACTTAATTAATAAGAACTATAATATTCCTACGAAATGATCCAATAAGTTCACGCTGCATTTACCAGGTCAAGAACGATATATCCATTAATTCACATAACTGGGGATGGGGGATGTTATAAAGCATAAAGAGGAGCAAGTAAGAGCATCATTTGCACAAGTAACCACTTCCGACAGATTCTTAAGTTGTAAGCTTCTACTACTTCGACCAAATAAATACTCAAAACCTATAATTGGAAATTGCTGACATAAAATAATAGCTAAGTGTAACAAAATGCGCAAAAAAAAAAATAACAAACTTTACAAGCTAACCTTTTCATTATAAGCAAGTGAGTGTCTGGCAAATAAACATGCAAAATTGAATTGCTTTATAAGAAAGACTGCCAAACCCACATGAACATGTGAAATGTCCTGGCAAGATGATCATTCACACTTTCTAACACCGACCATAAGTTCACATTTCGTTCTAATCATGTAAATTTGGGGCGATGATTTGAAACCATCTAAACCCAACACTGTGGTTCAGTCTAAATTAAGTCCTATACAGAACCCAGGTAATGAACTTTCGAGCACAATGTGACTGTTCCAGGCATGATTGGCAACAATCCAAACCAAACATGAATAGTATAACCAACGAAGCAGCTGGTCCGCAAACGATGAATGTTACTACCCTTTAAAACTACTGCCAAACTCAACACGAGTGAAAATTAATAAATTCCACAACTTTGATGAAACAGGCGGGATAATTTCTTAAAATAACTCAAGTCCTTCGTTGTTACTAGAACCCAGCAACAAATCGAGCAAACAAAAAGTTGCTTAAATTGAAGTCAATGTCTCTAGAAAAATCATGGTGGTAAAAAAACCCAACGGCCCCCCACCCCCAAAAAAAAGCACATACCTCCTCCTTAGATCCCGTCCCATAGAAAGCCGCCACAGTAGCATCCAGGAGCGCGACATCCATCGGCTGGCTCAAATCCCGCAACTTATCCGCCGCCATGGCTGATAAATCACCACAGTTGCTCTAATTTAAACCCTAAACCCCCTAAAACAAAGTAAAAAGCTCACACAGAAACCCTAGAGAAAACAGCCGTACAGCGTGAAGATAAAAGCCGGAGAATTGTCTAGCGTGAAAAGGGCACTGCGATGCTTAAAGGGGCGACAGAAGGGGAACTGAATTAGGCTATGGGGAAAAAAGACAGCTTCAAATTGAAGCAGACGGATTCTAGAGAGAGAAAGAGAATAACTTTGAAAATGGTGTTTTGCCACTTCCCTCCCCTTTTATATCACGGGAGAGATATTGGGTGTGTTGGGCTGTGTGTATGTAGTTTGGAGAAATGCTCACATACCCACATTGGGCACATGTTAATATGTCCACCGCGTAGTGCATTCATTGTTGATGTTAATATGTTTAAAAAATACATCATCATGCCATCTAGGCAGTAGGCATATTAACATGTGTCCACCGTGGGTAAGGGGAGCATTTCTAATATAGTTTGTACATCTATATGAATGTTTTCTGTATTTTTTTTTAATTGATTATTCAGAAGACGATTGGATATAATTTGAACAATAAAAATTTAGTGAAAATTCAAATTTAACTCACTTTTAAAACCTCACTATTTCTAATATTATCGATATTATTAAATAATATGAAATAATCATTCTACACTCAGATCAACTTTAATCCACTATTTATTGAGTCGCATAATTTTAACAGCTTCTAATTATTTTTTCATACTTTACATCAAATCAACTTTAATTATTTTATTTAAATTTTATTTTATATATTCACTAACAACTAATAATACCAAAATTTTCAAAATTAACTATAGCTAAAAAATAAACTAAATATAAATTAGTTGAATCTATAAATCACATAATCGATTATTTCATTGCACAAGAGGTATATATATTAATATACTGTAGGCTATAGTGGGCACTAATAAGGAAAAAGGAAACAAAAGGGAACTATATAGTATATTACACTCTAGTGAGGGAACAAAAGCGTATCAACTGGCATGTGATTTTTTTTTTTTTTTTTGGTACAGGAATTTTTCGGTTTTCGAATCCATAGGGGAATCGACTAATCCAGAATCGAACCGAGTAGGACTACAAGGGCAAAAAAGCTCTCCCTCAAGAGTTTTAATACTGCTGCATTCCCTGGGCTCGTACACGAGACCACTGGTTAAGCTGGAAGAGACCCAAGTCATCTCATCCAAACGTTCTTGGTAACATGCGAGTTTTCCTTTTCATATAAAAAAACGGGTAAATTGCGCCAAACCCACCTGTATTATACGAAATTTGCACATTATCCCTCTGTATTTTAAAAATTGCGCTATACCCCCTTCTATTATACTTTTGATTGCGCGTTATCCCCTAAACCGTCTAACTTGACGGATGTGCATTTCACGTGCGTGTAGTGCGGCTGTTCTCCATTTTTTCGCCATAAACTCAGGAAAATGACTATTTTACCCCTTAATACATGCATTAAATTGCTGAAATTACTGTTTTACCCCTGAAAATACTGAAAAATCAGCCATTTCAATAATCTAAAACTAAAGTAATTATAAAAAAAGTATAATTAAAATAAAAAAAATAAAATAAAAAATAAATTAAATGAAATTAAATGTAAAATTTAAAAATAATAAATAAATAGATTACTATTTAATAAAAAATAAAATAATATTTCATTTAAATAAATTAAAATATAAATATAAAGTTTAAATATACATTTTTTAATTGAAATAATATAATATATATAAATAAAATTAAACTAAATTAAATTAAATTTATTTATTTATAATAAAAATAAAATGATACTTCTATATATATATATTATTAAAGTATTAATTTGTAAATAAAATATTTTGTATTCAAATATATATATATATAGGATTTGTATTTATTTATTTTATTCAGTTTTTATATTATTTTATTTTTTTGAAATGTTTGAAAAATATATAAATTCTATTTTTTAATAAAATTATTTTTATTTAATTTTTATATTATTTTAAAAAATGAACAAAAATTTAATCCCGCATCTCCTCCAACTGCGTTTTCGTCTTGTGGCTATGGAGATAGATCCAGTAGACCACCGAGAGGGGAAACCCGACTACAACTTCGTCGTCTCTTTCCTGATGGTCTTCCTCAAGCAGATGCTACCAACGAACATCAAATGCCCCCAGAAAATCTTTTCCCCTACAAATTCGAATTCCTATTGCCGGTGCTTTCACGGCAGTCCGTCGGAGACGGCGCCGCATCGCCAGTCGCGACCGTCCATGATGCTCGCCTCCATCTCCACTGCAGGGCCTTCGCGAAGGTGATGGAGTTCCCTGTCCGTTCTGACGCCAGCATCTGAATCGATGCGACCCTGGGCTCTCACAACCGCCGACGACCTCGACAACGAGGTATGCACCGTCCTCGATGAAGGCCCTGCCGCTGTACAGATCGAGGAAGAACACCTGTGGCGGCAGCGGATGAAATTGCTCCCTCAATCTGAGATCTAATTTTCTTTCTTTTTTTTTGAAAATTAGGGTTTTCACCCTTTGTAGAAGGAGAGAAAAATTGAAGAGAAGTTGGTTCTCCCAGAAAAAGTCCTACTTCTTTTTGAAGTCCCAGTTAAGAAAATCCCTTCTCCTTAACTTTGTCTGCCCTTTGGTCATTCTTTGTTTTTTGACAATCTTTCCAGTGAGCAAGAAGCATTTAGGAATAGCAGATGAGAAAGTTTGTTCAAGAAAGTGAAAGTGTGATTTTGATTTAGAGATGAGAAAGTCTATTCAATTTCTCGCAATATATTGAATATATCATGATAAATTCAATTTATCAGAAAATATATATATATAATATTCTGAGGGCATAACGGGAATTTTACAAAAATATTAACGCCGTTAATAGGAAAACAGTCAAATGGGAGAGTGTGCATGCAAATTTTAAATACAAGGGGGTATGACGCAATTTTTAAAATATAGGGGGAAAACGCGCAAATTTAGTATAATACAGAGGAGTTTGGTGCAATAAACCCATAAAAAAACTCTAATAATGGGCTCAACTTGAATTGTCTCACGCTCCGAAATTAACGGCCCAAGCCCAACGCTTTCAGCCTTTCACACATGTGTTGGGTTGCATGAGAATACGAGTGGATCCTCATTTGTTGTATTAGCTTATGAAATATTTAACTCAAATTAAATATATATATGTATATATATATATATAATTGAGATACTTGTTTGATATTTTAAAAGTTCGTAAAAAGGTAATGATATATTTAATTTGTTAATCAACTAAATTTATCTTAACTTTTTAAAACTTATTTAGATTTCAAAGACAACAATACATATATGAAAGAATAGCATCAAATGTAAGATTTCAAGAACTCTGATTAAAAAAATCTTAAGAAATCTCATATTTAAAAAAAAAAAGAAAAAAAAAAATCGGGATAATACTTATTCGGATTTTTAATAGATTTGTTTATAATTTAAAGATTTTGGTGTATTTAGCTTGGACTTTTTTAAAGGTCTCGAGGTATTAATTTAATTTAAAAAAAAAAAAAGTATTTAATCTATTTAGCATTATAATTGTTCAGATTTTCTTATAACGTATTCCAAATTCAAACACAACTGTCATATACAAAATCCTAAAGATTTAAAAAGTATTAAGTTTTAGGGAATCTTATAATATCATCCAAAGTCAATGAAAAATGCCATTCAAAGGTTTCAAAAGAATATACTAATTATTAAATAATATGATAATGTAAAAATATTGGTTTGATATTGTTCGACAAACCTAAGTGTTTTTCTATAAGATTTTATTGTTAGACAAGCAAAATAAATTAAATAAAAGTTTTCTATTTATTTACTAGTTAGTTAAATAAGTTCCTAGTATTTATTGTTGATAATATAGGGTATATGTTTATTATAATTAGTACAGAATCCGTGCGATGCACGGGGTACACAATTTTAAGGTCATTTATCTAACTTTATAATTATATAAACGAATAAAAAAATGTACGGGATATATATAATACGTGACCTGTACGAGGCACGAGATATATATTTGGGGAATATTATATTATAAGATGCAATATTCAATAAAAAGTTTACAATACGCAAGAAAATTGTACAATAAAATAGTATTCGACAAAGAAACAATCATATATTATTAAATGTCTCCTTATACACAACATTATGAGTTTGATTATTGGGCAACTCCTCATTCTCACAAACTAATATCTTCAACCCCCTTATGTTAGTTACACGCGAAACAACAACATATCATTGGTCATAACAAAAGACAGGTTTCTTTATAAAAAGGCCAACGTGGGATAAAGATTGTCCCTAACTCTTGTTTATGGTCATGACATACGAAACATGTACAAAAATATCTAAATACATACACGAAAATATAAAAAAAATTAAAAATATACATTTCAAAGTTCAAAATTAAAAATAAAAATTCAAATAATTTGGCTTACAGTTTTATCATGCAAAACCAACTTGAGATATGATTTATATGTGTTGCCCCAGCCTTGGAAAAGTATTATCACAATTCGAACTGTGAGCATAGGTTTGTTAGACCTATTGACTTGTTTGATTAAACAATATCATTTATTCATTGTTTTGAATAAAAGACTGAGAAATCAGAATGAGGTGAACAAATCAGGAAATGGGGGATATTTTTTATTCGCATGATGTTGATAGTGAGGAAGATAATGACTCGATATTTTGAGATTTGTAATTTTATAATAGGTAGAGTAGATATATATTGTTGTTAATATTTTTATGAAAAAATCTAAATATACAGAAATCGGTTTGAACAAAATCAGTATAGATTTCCATACAATTAGATAATAAATAAAGCCTTTTTTTATTTTAGTAAAGATTTTACGTACTTTTTTTTTACTTATCGGATGTTATGGGATTTTTTTTTTCTTAAACCGATTTTATGGGATATAAGGCAAATGCAATTAGATGATTGAACAAAATCAGAACAAATTTCCATACAATTAGATAATAAGAAAGAATGAATTAGATAAGAAATTTTGAATGTGCATATTTTTAGTATAGATATAGACTTCACGTACAATTTTTGACTTCACCGATTTTATGTGATTTATTTTTTAATGAATCGATGTTTTGACGTAAAGATTTTAGGTACTTTTATTAATAAAAAATAAAATAAATAATTTTATAAAAATAAATAAAATAATTATATAATTTTTTTTTTTTGGTAAAGATGTTACGGGATTTCTTTTTTCTTAAACCGATTTTATGGGATATAAGACAAATAAAAAAAATAATTATATAAAATTTTGGATAGGAATAGCAATGCCTTAATTACGTTGACTTTTCAACATACTAAATTTGGTAAATAAGATATCTTATTATAAGTATAGATATGTATTATAAAGTCCTAATCCTTAAGGGGAAGGATTACATAATATATATTTTATATATTCACTTACCATATATGTCACCTGCATTAATGAGTTTGATTTTATGTCATAATTAGTTTTTTCTCTCTTATATGACAAAAAAAAGTAACAAGGACTATGAAAGGATAAACTATTCATACATAAAGAACTATGGACGTTCTAAAGAAGATCTAAGGATGATTTTGAAATATTCACCGCAAGATTTTTGAGATTTAGAAGGTAGGCCATTTTACGAAAGTCGTGTTCTTATACGAATTTGTAAACACAAGATCTCCATTGTAAATTCAATTATGAAGACCTTAAAATCACAAATACGAATTCTACTTCAAGGAAACTTATTCTATATGAATGATTTCTTCTAAATTTGAAAGAAATCAATTGAGAAGGGAATTGACTCCTTAAAAAAATATGAGAAACTTGTGAAGATTGTTTACTTTAAGGAGATTGTATATAAGTCTACTCCAACAATCAATTTAAGAGAGTTGCTGCAATAATCGTGTTAACCATTCATTTCATTCAATTGAGTTTTAAGAGCTCTTTATTCATTTTATTTTATTTATTCGATCTAGTTTTTCAGCGTTCTTACACCGCTGAAGAACTGAGATTGTTTTTCTTTTTACAAACACTTTCGAGTGCTTAGGGATTAAGTATTTTCGTTAGCTGGGAGGGATCCATAGCTAGTTTTAAAGTCCACGTGTTTGTGGCCAAGAAAGTAGTTGATAGAATCGAGTTTAGTGTTGGTTGGGCTAGGAGGGAGGTCAAGTCGAGTAAGTCCAAGTTGTACTTCGTGCGTTCAAACCAATTTATCAGTGAAAGAGTTGTGAGAGGTAGTGGGACGCTCCCTGAAGACATATATTTTCTATGTGTCCCTATGGCTTTTAAATTTATTTCTCAGTAATCTGAGTTCTCTATACATTGGTGTTGCAACATCATATTGCGTGCTCTATCTCACATAATTTTATTGTTTTAATTATGTATAGAACTAGAGTTTAAGTGAATCAAACATCCATGAACAAAAGTTTGTTCAAACTCATTAATAGTTGATGAAAACATGTTCCTCAATTAATAAAGTCACACTCAACTAAAAAATAGGTTTATTTGTTAGTCAGACTCACGACCTCGTTTGCAAACGTTCAATAACATTCTTGAACACTAGTTTAATAGAATTTATATTTTTGTCTGGACATGTATGATATTTGTAATAAAATAATTTTTTTCTTAAATTATTACAAATGGGAAAAATTTCAGACAAATTGATCCAGAGTTAATGAAAAAGTTTTAATAAACTTTTTTCGTAAATTATGCAAAATTTGACGAGCAAGTAAATGAACGAGTTTAAAACAAATTTTTCTTTTTAAATAACAAATGAAAAAATACGAACACAGTTTGAAAATACTCAAACACAATCTCAAAATGTTCATAATTGGGTTCGTTCGATTCAATTACCACCTAGCTTGGGAAAAATAAGGGACGTTGTGATTTATTTTCATAAAGTGCTCTGATAATTGAATATACTTAAAGAAAATTACCTCACACACCATCAAGATCAATATTATTTGTACATGTACTAAACCTAAATTTTATTTACAAGTATATATATATTTTAAAAACAACAACTCCCAACCCAATATCAATCTCAATTAAAGACCAAAAACTCAGTTTATTATCTCGTTGTCTTTTCTTATCTTTCTCTCCATGTCTTTTTTCATGCACGTCAGTTCTTCTTCCCACCAGAACAAATTCTTAAATCCAAAAATTAAAGTCACCCTAATTCTTCTCTCCATAACACCAAACATTTAGCACTATTTTTCTACATGTCTGGCAAGCCCAGTGCATAGACTTCAACGTCCGGCGATATGTGTGCATAGACTTCAATGTTCGACGATTTGAGGGCTCTAGCTCCGGATTGTATCACGTGTCAACCAACCACAACGATTGGAGTTTAGCACGGCAGCCCGAGGTGAGGCTTATGGACCCCAAAACTGGCAGTGGATAACGTCTAAGAGGTAGTTGATTTCAACGACTCGCGTCTGAAACAAGCGGCGCTGGCGGCTCTGCTTTAGAATAGAGAAAGGGTAGACAGAGTTAAGGTGAGCGAGGTCAGTCGTACGACAGTATTTGGATCTAGATCTAAGGACCAATTAGCAATTTGGTGCTGACGTCCCCAAGCCAAGGGCGAGATAGTCGACGGATTTTCTCAATCTCTATCTTCCCCTATTTTCTGTTCATCCTTATCTATTTTATTAAATGTAAACTTGTGTAATATTATATTTTCATTGTTTTGATTTTTTTTTTTTGTTTATATTCAATACACGTGTGATTAATGATTGACGATGTTTCATCTTTTTTGAGAATTTTTTTTTGTTTGATTTATTATGTTGTGAGATATGTTGCGTTTATACGCATTATGTTTTTCAGTATATGTTTGAATAAGCACAATCAACAATATATGTTGACTGTATATGCAATATATATTTTCGTTTCCTGTGCTTCATGTGTTTCTCATCTGGCTAGTGCTTGTGTTTCTCATCTGGCCCGTGCTACATTTGTTTATCATATGCTCTATATATACTAAAATAATTTATTAAAATACATACACTAAAATAATTTATTAAAATAATGTTATATACTAAATAAAAAAATTGTGGTTAATAATAATGATATGTAAATAAAAAATCATGGTATATACTGAACACATACTGACTATAAAACATTACATACTGCATATTCAAAAAACTTGAGAACTGAAAACCTACGATCTACTCAATTTAATGGGGAAACAATTTTACTTTATTTGGTAACTGAAAATCCCACAATTTTGGGGAGACTGTTATACTTAATTTGGTAACTGAAAATTCCATAATTTGATGTATATTTATAATTACTTGACATAAAATTGGTAAAGATACAAATAAAGTTTAGCCCATGATAAAAATAATTTTTCCAAATGACGTGGTATAAATAAAAATTCGCCATTTACTTATACTGCCGCTCCCAAGTTAACGGCCCAAGCCCAACACTGTAACTGGCCCGGCCTCATTTGTATTTTATATCGGGCTGATTAATCATATTGATTGGGGCTGTGGGATGCTCTCTTGTCCGTCGGAAAATGTTGTGGATTGAATTTCCAGTTGTGTTTTTCATAAAGACCAAGCTAGCCGGCCCAAGCCCAACACTGTTACTGGACCGGGCTCATTTGTATTTTATATCGGGCGGATTAATCATATTGATTTGGGTTCTGGGAACCTCTCTTGTCCGTCGGAAAAGCTGTGGATCGAATTTCCAGTTGTGTTTCCTTCATAAAGACCGAGCTACGCCGAGAGAGAGAGAAGAGAGAGAGAGAGAGAGAATGACCGCCGTGCTGAGAGGTGCGATTGGCTTGATTAGAGAGAAAGGCCTCGGAGGTTTCTTCAGGGAGCTCCGATCTGAAGGATACCTGTAAGTTCAAATTATCTCGACTCCTTTTTTTTTTTCTTCATTTTACCCTTTTTTGATTGGCTGCGAAAGATAAAAAAAACTCTGTTGCTGCTCTCTGTGATGAGCTGCTGTGATTCTGACTGGTTTTTTGTCTCAGTCATGTGATCCGTTTCTTATAATCGAAGGGAATTTTGTTGCCCCACCCTGTTGGGAATCATATCAGATGGAGCAAAGCCATACCTGACTGACTTAGGAAGCAGCTTTGTAGCCTTCTGCTGCTCTAGCCAACAAGTCGTTTCGGTTAGAAAGCGGTAGTGATATTACTTAGCTTAGGTCAATTACATCGAACCTCTTGTTTAGCCAAGAATTACTCAAGCTAAATCCGCTGGTAGTCTTTCCTCAGCTACGCGCTTTTAAGCCCTTAAGTAGTCAGCCTTAGGGCACTCACAAGCCTTGAGTATTGTACAAGGACGTGCTGTAGGAGTAACCCATTACCTTCTAGGTGGAATTGCCACAACATGGGCGTTTTTCTTAGCAAGAATTATTGCAGTAGGATAATGGCTAGGAGGATTTGAAAGGCATTATGGCATTAAGATTTCCAAGGTTTAGCCAACGAGTAGCTCAGGACCCCACTACTCGTCGTACTTGGTTTGGTATTGCGACTGCACATGACTTTGAAAGTCATGATGATATTACTGAGGAGCGTCTTTATCAGAATATTTTTGCTTCTCACTTCGGGCAATTAGCAATCATTTTTCTGTGGACTTCCGGAAATCTGTTTCATGTAGCTTGGCAAGGCTCATGATGTCTTAAACAATTTCATTCAAGACTAAAGCATATTGCTATGATAAGCTGGGTTATGCCTCAAGACATAACTATCAAGGTAAATGTGGATGGTAGCGCGAAATCTCAGAATAGAGAAGCTACTGCTGCAGGTATTATAAGGGATAGTCAGGCTACCTGGTTAGGTGGTTTTGTGCATTGGAATTTAGGAAATATAAAGTAGTAAGTGAAGAACCAAATAGTAATACGAAATAGCATTACATATAGTAAAAAATGAATAGTCATCGTTATTTAAATAATTTTTTATGCAGTACCCCCTGTGAATACTCCGCCGGTGTGAAAAGTTCTTAATGTTAATTGAGTACCCGGTTCTCCAATCGATTGTCCTGCAATAATACCTACAGCTTCTCCTAATTCAACCAGGTCGCCGTGAGTAGGACTCCGTCCATAACATAATCGACAGATCCAAGATGCACTCCTATAAGTACAAGGCTTTTTTTTGGTTCCCCATTTTGTATTTGGTTGCCCATTTTGTATTTGGTTGCTGATTGTTAGGGTTCACAGTCAGTGAAATTCTAGTATTCAGCCAATGGCGAGGAATTAAAGTGTAATATCATGTTTTATTGTTTCACATGTGTGTTATCTAATGCCTATTTTGGGTGTATGTGTAAAAGTGTGCATATGTAGTTTTTTGCTCAACTGTGTCTCTGATTCTCTTTTCTTCCATTTCTATTATGCAGGAGTGCACTTCTGGATGGGAATCTTATGTAAGTTCCCGTGGCTAACTTGTCATGGCACCGTAGAAAATAGTTCAGCATATGTCAAGCATGCTAGATTTATAACAACTATAATTTAGAAAAGAGATGTTTAATTGTTTAATGATAAATTTAATTTGTGGGTGTTCACGAGTTCATTTGTAGCTGTCAATCTCTATGTTTAACGACTTATTAGCAACTCGTTGTTTGATAAGCTTCGTACGGTTGTATTGCTTATAAGTTTAGCACAAATGATGCTACTCGATCGATGGAATGTGATTGTGGTATGAATATTCCTGGTTAGGTTCTTGGTGTTGTTGGTAAAACTTGAAGCTAAGTCTGAGCTTCAAACACAGTTTAAAAGTGATCACATATCTGCCAAAATTGTGATTATTATTGGACTATTGGAGTTTGATTTGTCTTTTACTGCTATCAAGGCTATTCAAGGTGGACCTGTTTAAGTACCGATAGAATATATAAGTCCAAGCTCATTTAAAGTTCAACCCAAGCTTGACAATTACATGACGCGGCCCCACTTTTCTGTTTACTCTGTTGTGTATGGAATTCGGGAACTCATGTTATACTTTTGTGTGGATCTTACAATATTTCATGCTTTGTAGCTCTATTTTATATGTTGGATAGTGATTCCTAGTTGTTAGTTCTTTATTGCCGTTATGCACAGGGAAACAAAAATTATGATTTCTGCCTCAACAATTGCTCATTTGTGCAAATATTTTTCTCTCATCTCAGCGTTGCACATTTGTAACTCGTATTCTGTATTTGAGAAACTATCACTCTTAACTATCAGTTATAAACCTTAGAGATTTTATGGGTCAATTTTTTAGCAACTCTCACTTGGGCACATTTTGCAGTTATTTTCTTCGTCCTTTCCTCTGCTCATTAGTGTAGCACTAACGCGAACAGCGCATCTCTTTCTAGCAATGTTTTGCTTGTGTAAATTGTACATGCATTTGTTATGTTGCTGTAGTTCTTTAACTGGATAGCCTTTTTTTTTTTCTTTTTTTTTCTCTTTAATTAATCTAGGCAAA